AGGGCATAGTATTCGTCAATCAATATCTCTAAAATAAGGTAAGAAACCTAATGATATAACTGCTTTAAGGTGGGACATACTTAATTAGAAATATACAAAATATGAAAAAAAAATGAATAACAAGTTTTTTTTTTCAGCTTAAGGTCCTTCTTCCCCTTAAATATACTTATCATTTACATGTACGGTGGCAGAAACTAGACTTACCAGATCAGTGTATCTCGTTTTAAGGAGGAATGCCACACCAAAATTTTATTTCACAGATCTTTAAGACATCCCTGTTAAGTTATGGTTTCAGCATTGAAAGACCGATAAGGCTCTTAATTATTTTATAAGATTTTTTTTCTGATTTTTCATACAAAATGAAAAATAAAATGTTTTATTTGCAAATAAGATGCTTTAGAGTTAAAAATTTGCTGTTAATAAATGCATAATATAAATAACTAATAAAATATGTAAAGAAAAGCCAAATAGACATTTTAATTTTTTTAATAAAAATTATTTATGAAAATAAAACATATTAATTGTGAATATTTTCAAAACCTATGGATAATATATTAAAAAAAACAACAACAACAAGTCACTGCTACTAAGGATATGTTAGGCAATCATATTTTAAAAAGAAATTGAAATGTAATTGCGAAATTTTTGAGAAATTAATTTTTTTTTAAATTTTGGCCAATCCTGATCGAAATTTAACTGATTAATAAGACCGCTCTGTCTGAGGGTAAAATCACACAGCACTAAAATATTTCTCATCTAAAGACGGGGATTGGGTAAGTTAATATAGATATCGTATAATAATACATGTTTGTAATTTCAATTGGATTATCTTGCACCGTGTTTCTCCCCTTGGTTCCCATTGATAGATAAGAACCGGGTGTCTCAATCTTCTTCAGATTTACTACACCTAGAACTTAATATCAACTCCTGTGGATATTTGCCACTGTTGCTTATAAATTTTATACTTGGATTTTGCTTTTACCCTTAACTTCTTTATTACTGATTCAATGCATAGCCACTCCCCAGCTTAATTGTTAAAAAATGTATATCTACTAGATATACATTTTTTAACAATTAAGCTGGGGAGTGCCTATGGTATTAATGTACAGTACCAACCAGACCCAACCTGACACCTAATCAGTCCCAGAAAGCAGTCCCCGGGACTGCTTTGGGACCGCTCTGGGACTGCTCTGGGACCGCTGTGGGACTGCTCTGGGACTGCTGTGGGACTGCTCTGGGACTGCTCTAGAAAGCAGACCCAGCAGTCCCTGGGACTGCTTTCTGGGACTGCTTTGTTCACTCATGCATGAAAAAGGTTCTGAGTGACATGATAGCTCCGCCCCTTGTGTATTCTGAATTTGCAGGCTCCCTGTTGTTGTTTTGTTTACTTTCAGCAGAGAGGTGTTTAAGATAAAGAATAAAAAAAAAACAAGGATTTTTTTTACAACATTTTAATAAGTAGAGATAGATATACATGTAATTACTAAATGTCTTCAGGGGCTGTAAATTTACACAATTGTAGTCTAGAATTAATTTTAAAAAATAAAAGTAGTTAAAAGAGAAGTCAGGAGATAACTTTTATCCTTTAAATTAAACTTTAATACAGGTGTTTGGAAAAAAAAAATATCTAGGCCTATTTAATTAATTAATGCTAATTAAAACTTTAATACAGGTGTTTGAAAAAAAAAAAATATCGAGGCCTATTTAATTAATTAATGCTGTCAAGTTACGGAATGTACTCAAAGTTTGCATTAGCACTATTTGAAAACAAACAAACAAACAAAAAACAAACAAACTTGTCATTACAATAAGACATTCAGAGGGACATACTGAACTGGATTTTTTTTTAAATTGAAAAAGCTAAAACCATTTGCATGCTAAAAAAGAGCATTCCATGCTATTTTTTACCGCCCTCAAATAAAACCTAATAATTTATTAAATGACCATGACATAAAATTATTCTACCATTCTTCAGTCATTTCAAACATTATATTTGTGAACAATTATTGGGGGATTTATTTCTGAATTTGTTTTTGATTTATAAACAAGTAATTAAAAGAGTAAATTTATAAACATTTTAAAATATTGGGAATTGTGACTTATTTCTTATTTGTTTTGTTTGTGTTTTCCTGGCCAATTAATTAAAAGCAATACAAATGTATAAAATGGTGTCAACACCTGAAGTTTCAATCGCCTTCGGGCATGATTAGCAGAAAGTCAATGCATGTTATTTGGGTATCAGTGTTACACATCACTGAACATGCTGGTCAACAATGACACTAATTTCAATCTATGTACTGCAAAAAATCTTCGTTTCAATAAATGTGTATAGATTTATTTCGGGATTAATTAATTTTGAACATAATCTGAGGGTTCCATTCGCGTGATTTACAGATGTACGCTCAAACGTTTATATAATAAAAGTATTATTGTTTTCTGTTACATAGATAATTTAACGATAATTAAATTGGCAAGTCAGTGAAAATAATCATGACTGAAATATAATACACAAAGAATTTTTCAAAAGCTCCAGTACTTAAGAAAACTGCATTCAGAGTATAGTATGGAAATCGGCCTTGCTCTATAATTATAAGACCTATTTAAAGCTAGTTTTGATAGAAAATAAATAACTCAAGCTTAATTATCTACAAAAAAAAAATAAATATGGAAACCAATATCAATCACAGTAATTTAAAAAATTGATTTATTTTGGTGAAAAATTAATATACCACAAAACTGTGTTTAAATATTCATGTTATTTATAGGTGTGAACGTCTTCTTTGTTCAATATTTATTATTTGTTTCTATACATGTACGCGTAGTGTGATTTTCTTAACAGTTAAAAAATGACTGTCGCATGAGAATTGATACTGCTCAGAAAGAAATGGATCATCAATTTCAACTGCCTTTTATAGTTACATTGTTTATTGGTAATCTCATTTCTGAGTAAGCTCCGCCCATTAAATTAATTAACCCCGCCCACTGGGACTGCTGGGACTGCTTTCTGGGACCGCTGGGACCGCTGTGGGACTGCACTGGGACCGCTGTGGGACTGCTCTGGGACTGCTTTAGCAGTCCCAGAGCAGTCCCAGAAAGCAGTCCCCGGGACTGCTCTGGGACTGCTTTGTGTCAGGTTGGGTCTGGTTGGTACTGTATGTATCACTTAGTGCATGAAATATATTATTTCATGCAAAAATTATTTTCAGAAAAAAAGTGATGCCCCCCCTTCTCCCGTACTACGGGGACGTTTTAAACCTTTCTCTCCAGTAAAATATTCCCATTCTATAGGGAGAGAAAAAAAATTCTCATGCATACTCCCTTTTATGACTTTTTATGCATACTCCTCAAAGTTAGTTACGAAGATGCAAAAGCACATCAGTAAAATACCTGTTTTCACTGTTACAAAACGCGTATTAATTCTACATGATCGGATACAGAAAGGTCACAAAAGGCCCGTAGAACGCTGGGGGGGGGGGGGCAGAGGCAAATTCCAGGATTTGGACTGTATCTATAAATTTGGGAAGTTGTCCCCCCCCCCCCCGCCCCACTTTTGGTCAGTGTAGTTTTTTTTTTTTTTTTTTTTTTTTTGCTTGTCAGATTTTTTGGAAGCCTCCCCCCTTTTTGAAACCGCTAGAGGCCTGCACAAAATCTGACAATTTCCGAATTTTCTCAGTTTTATGCAAATTTTTATCATAACAAAAATTGCATAAAAATAGAAAATTGTGGAATTTATGAATCTCGGGGGGAAAATAGCAAACGTATTAAGGTTTAGCCGATCGCGTAGGATAAAAATAGCAGAAAACAGATGCTGGGCATGAGTGCAGGATGAACTTTTCACCGCTGATAATTAGCTCCATGAAGGTTGCTAGTTGTTTGTAGATTAAGAACTTGTTTATAAGATGCTGGTTTGGTCAAGAATAGGGGTGTAACCAATCAAAGAGGTTGACGCAAGGGATCAGAGGTCATGCATCTGTATAAATTACCTACAGGAAATAAAAAGTCAAAATTATGCAAAAAGTTCAACAAGAATTTTAAAGAGCAATTTAAGATAAAAAGAGGGTTTAAGGTCGGAAAATATTAATTTAAATTCAGAGCAAAATTAAAAGTCATTAGTGCAAATATTGAAGAAATACGCAAATATGCAGGACATGTACGGGGGTATAAATGTAGCGCAGTGAGACATAGCCAGCCGGTGGTCTGCTGGATTTTGTCTCTTTCTGGTTGCATTTATACAGGTAAGATATTTTTGTAGACTGCTAGTTTTAAGAAGCATCATTCTAAAGAACTGCAAAGTATCACAATTTTATATGTGTTTGGATTTTTATATCAAATAATGGGCCTAATTCGACCGTTTACATAGCTTGTCCTTTTTAAGTATCGGGATGTAGGTAGCCGGGGCCCTGGACCGGGGTAATGAAGGTACACAGAGGAAAACAAATACTCGGATTCTATCAAGCAAGCAAAAAGAACAGAGATTGAACTTCTTGTTTTATTCAATCGTAAAAGACATAAAAAATATCTACTTGTATTTTAAAAAAAATATTACCCCCCCTCTCTCTCTCTGTATGTGTGTGTGTAAAAATAAAGGGGGTTCCAACCCCTGCACCCCCCCCCTTTGGATCCGCAAATGAGTCCTATATAGTTTGTCTGACGTTGCTTATAAGGAGTGGCTAGAGTAGAATCCTCAATACCTGCGCACAATTCGAGAAACTCTTTGTTGCAAATTTGAAAAAAAGTATCAGAAATAATCTCACAATTTCAAACTAGAAAAAAAAAATCATAAAACAAGTATAGGAGTAAAATCCTTTAAATCCTGTTGTTTTGCGCAATGGACAGATTGAGAAAGTTCTTTTGCAAACTCCGATACATAAGAATGTTTAGTTTTTATTGAGTTTTCAATTGTTTATTTTTAAGATAAACTATTCTGTTAACGACTTTTATATCTTAGATTCATATCTTAACTTCATTTAAATAAAATTTACAGATATCTACAGCGGATTTTCATCATGTCTTTTGAAAGAACGGACGAAAACAGTACAATGGATTTGGAATCAGAGTCCGGATTCGAAGATCCTTCTTATCCAAGCATTTCCTCTCGTTCTGTTCAGCGCAAACTAGATATGGCAGAACAGCTGACTCAGCTTCACGACCGCATAATATCATCCATAGAAAAAGATCATCTAGTAGAATTTGATATGCACTTTACTCAGTTTTACGAATCTGAAATCTATAGAAAATATGTTTCTCAATTTTTGAACAAAGCTCTGGAAACTGATGCTAAAGGAATAGTGCATAAAATAGTTTTGGATGCAGCCGATGATATAGACATTACATACTTTTCTGAGGACGAGACTAAACTTTCTGCAATATTTCAGTTAAGTTGTCAGCACGGTCATATTAATCTTGTCCGCGAATTCTTTGAAAAAGGTTTTATATCCGAAGAGGAAATTTGGAAAGGTATTGAAACTACAAGCCAAAGTCTTGTTTGCGAAGAGAAACGTAGGCAAAAACGAAATTTTCATTCCCTTATTGTCATTTTAGAGATCATTATGGACAATCTTCCTAATGTTGATTCAGACCGTCTGTTGCAAATATTCAAGTCAATATCGGATCAAACAGTGATAATACGGTTACTAATAAAGCGAAAAGAAAAATTTGGGGAAGAGATAATGAACAAATTGCTTTTATACATATGTAAAAATGGACTTTCCCAATGCTTACAATTTCTTTCAATGAAATCACTTCCCGTAAAAGATATTCTTGTTGGACTGAGGGCAGCGATCAGAAATAAGCACAGTGATCTAGCGGACACAATTCTCCACAAGATGAACGGCATGAAGTGTAAGTAATTCAATATTCATGAAGTAATGTCTAAGTTATTTTAGAAGTGTAGAGTATGTTTTTCTTTTTGTTCTGATTATCTCACTTAAGTTACAGATATATAGGATCTCCTATGGTTTGTGATTGGACATGGTTCAATCAAGGTGCACTTAAATTTACCAGGGTTTTATTCCATGCACCCTGAGGCCGAAGGTTAGAAGGAAATAAGACACAACGAGTTTAATAAAAAAAAAATAATAAAAAATCATATCTAAACATTGTATAAAGGAGTAAACATGCACAGGCACTCGACGTTACATATTTTTCTCATTAGAAAAAATTCTAACCCCTTTCCTAATAATTTACAAGGTACAGATTGTTAGAGCAGTAGATCGAGTTTGACGAGAGATGTTTACTATTTCCACGTGTGATGCACCCTTTTGCTGTCACTGTCCGTAAGGTGAGACCTCGAAAGACTGACCACAGAATGAATACGGTTGCAATGAATGAATTTCACGGAGTTTCAGACCAAAAAAAAAAAAAATATGCTAATGGAAGTTCCGTATTTGTCAGTTCTACAGCTGCATGTTGTAATTACTTTGAATTTAACAAAAGTATTTTGATATTAAAATGGAAGAAATGCAAAATTGGGATATTAAAAATTTCTTGTAAATATACCTTGTAAAATGTACAGGTCGTTGCGCTTGAAAGTCTTAAAAAAAGAGAATGCAAGAAATTGACACACACACACACACACACAAACCCTCTCGCACACAAACACAAAGATCTTTTGGAGCTGAGTTTACGGAATGGCTTTTCTAAGCAATAAACAGCAAGTTAACTGACTATATATATATATATATATATATATATATATATATATAGATAACGAACGGTATTCAAGCTCAAAAGTCCGTTCAAACAGTACAAATCAGGAGCAGAGCAAACACGGACCTTTAAGACATCAGAGGCGAGATCAGGTGCCATGGAGGAGTGAGCATCCCCTGCCGACCGGTCACACCCGCCGTGTGCTTCTTTTCATGATCGGGAAATCTTGGGAAAATCCGTAGACAATTCAGTGTGTAAATAATGGCCTAACAATTAGTATGAAAAACGTCAGTCAGCATTTGACTGAATGATAGATTGTATTTGCTGAAAAAGGGAAAAGGTGATTACTGATTTCACATAAAATATGATAGATATATTTTGCCACCTAATTTAGTTGTTACATGTAGCTTGCCTTTAATATGTATAGTCATAGGGGACATTAAAACTCATTCGTCTGTCAGTCTGTATAGCTGCCAATCTGTTACAAAAACGTTAAGCTTGGTCATAACTTTTGAATGAGAAAAAATAGGGCTTTTATATTTCACATGTACATTACCTGTGACAAGACCTTTCCAAATATACCACGATTTTTAACCCCGTGACCTTAACTTTGAAGTTTGGCCTACTTTTCAAAAAAAATTAATATTACTATTACCTTAACTTTTGATTGAGATATTACTATTACCATAACTTTTGATTGAGATATTACTATTACCATAACTTTTGATTGAGATATTACTATTACCATAACTTTTGATTGAGATATTACTATTACCATAACTTTTGATTGAGATATTACTATTACCATAACTTTTGATTGAGAAGAGAAAGAGCTTTCATATTTCACATGTACATTACCTATGACAAGACCTTTCCAACTGTACCATGACTTTTGACCCCCTGACCTTGAATTTTGACCTAATTTTCAAAAATTTTAACATGTGTTATAAATTTTGAATGAGAGAAAACAGAGCTTTCGTCTTTGAAATGTGCATTAATCATGATAAGACGTTTTCAAATATGCTTTAATTTTTTACCCTGTTACCTTGACCTTGAAGTTTGACCTACTTAAAAAAAAATACATTGGTTATAACTTTTGAATGTCAGAAGATAGGGCACTCATATTTGACAACTGCATTACCTGTGTGAAAAAGTTTCCGAATGTGCTATGATATTTTATCCCGTGACCTTGACCTTCAAGTTTGACCTAATTTTCAAAAGTTTAATCATTGCTGCTAACTTTTGAAGGAGAGAAGATAGGGCATTCATATTTGATATGTGCATTACCAGTGACGAGACCTTTGTACTATGTTCTTTAACCCTATCTTGACCTTCAAATCGACCTAATTTTTCAAAATTTTAACATTGCTGATACCTCTTGAATGAGAGAAAATAGGGCATTTATATATCAGATGCATTATTTGTTTCAAAACCTTTCCGAATGTACGCTGGTTTTGACCTCGTGATCATGACCTTTAAGATTAACCTGCAGTCTTTTTTATTTATTTATTTTTTTTTTTACATTGGTAAGAACTTTTGAATAAGAGAAAATAGAGCTTTCATGTTTTACATGTACATTACAATCTCTCAGAAAGATATATCAATTTTTGACTTCATGACTTTAAACTATAACTTTGAAGGACAAACAAACAAAACAGTTAAATTATGCCAAAAAATCCTTGCATCCAAACCACTAAGACACCGAAAACGGGGGACCACAATTTTTTGAACTTGTTTTTTATTTTATTATACATGTAGTTGAAGAAGGCGGAAATCTTTTCAAAGGAAAAACACGGTTTACCAATTTTAGCATTATCTCATGAAAGTTAAATGAAAATTGTGCGGAACGTGTATTTTAAACCAAGTTCACTCCATCTTAATTTTTTCTAGGAACTGGTTCTAAGTTCATACCAACATGAACTGTGCAGTTGACTAGGAGTTTAATTCAATGATAAGTTCTTTCACGTAAAATGGGGAAAGAAACCTTAGACAGTTTGTCGATTTCTGTTTGTATTAGTTGAAATTGAAATATATAAAAAAAAGATATATTTCAGATTTTAAAAACTCATAAAAATGTGGCTTTATGCTCATGATGCTCCTACCGGAAAATAAACTTTTATAATACAAAAATCGTATCTTTCCGAAAATATATTTGAAGTCAGTTATTCAAGAGTCATATCACTGTCTGTTATGAGTTGTGTGGAATAACTAGTGGTTAATGTAACGGTCTCTAAAAATTCCTGTATTCAGAATTTTATAGCTTACGTTTAATCTCCAATAAATCGTATTTTTTTAACGATGGGAATTTTTTTTACCGAGGGAATTTTGAGCAGAGAAGTTTAGTGTTATCATTTCATACCTTTCAATAATAAGATATTTGCTCTAAATATTAAGTTTACTACTATGAATTTTATTTTTGTACACTTGAAGTATATTATCATTTCCCATGCCTTATTTGTCCATCATTTCTGTAATGGAACTAATCAACCGATTGAATAAAAACCAGCAAAATCAGGGCGGGGTGGGGTGGTGGGGTTCAAAACAGAGAGGAATGTTATCAACAGATATGATGTCCACACCATTCTTTACATTTGATTGTAACAATCCAGATAGGTTACTTTTTTTACAATTATGTTTTATTTTATTCCCATGCTTTATCTGCAGGTGAGAACTATCAAGCTACACAAGAAACAAATTTGAGAGATGTTGTCCGCAAGGAAACCTTTAAAACACACCGATCAAAATCAATCCTTTCTCATGTTCAAAATGCTTACGGCAATTTTCATGAAAAGCACAGAACATACTTTGACACAATGAAGTTTGATTTGATTGTAGACAAAAGATTAAAGGTTTTATGTAAATGTGCAACTGAACATTCGACGATGGAGAAGAAACTGGAAAGCAAGAACATGAGATCATTCTTCCGAGAAGATATTTGGAGAGATATCATCCCATGCAAGTCTTGTGTAGGAAAAACAAAGTGGCATACAAAAAAGTCTTTCCGTCATATTTATCAGGTGTTTGCATTTGAAAAAAGGAAAGGCTATTTTAATTTTCATGAAGATATCGTAGATGAGAATAACGCAATATTGCTGGGTATAGCCCTGGCAAGGAAGGAGATCGACTGGAAAGAAACAGTGGATTACTGTCTGAAAGATATGTTTTCATCAACAGATAGAAGATTGCTTGTGCGTACCCTTTCAAACATGATTTGCAAGAGAGTTTACGACAGTCTTGTCTCATCATTTGAATTTTTGCGCATATTTCTGTCTTTCAAACGTGTAACTACCAATGGTAATTTTACAGATGAAGATGATGGTGACAATTCTGTAAAGACACCGCTGCTGGAACCAGTCATCATAGGCATTTTCTCTGGAAATCAGAGTAATTTCTATACTATGGAAAGTTTCTTTGGTATCAGAATAAAATGGAAACCACTTACAGAGGTAAATGATCGTGAAACAAGTTATACTGAGTGCAAACGAAAAATGAAGGAGGTTCATATATCAAGACGTCTTTCGGAACAACTTTTTGTGAAACACAGTAATCTAAACATTATTTCCACAGACGCAGTTAAAAGAAGAAACAATACTAATTTACACTCAAAGTGTATTGTTTTATATTGTTGGGCTAAAGGATTTATTCCATGCGGAGAAGACATGTTTCCACGTGAAATTAGGGGAATCCCAACTGATATCAGAGAAGGTTTTTGCGTTTTTGGGAACGGTCCAGTAATGAACATAGGAAATTCCATTGGAACACTGAGAAATGGTAACATATTAAAATCTGGAACACTCGGTGGTTTTCTGGAGAAAAACAATAAGTATTATATGCTAACATGTGCACATGTTCTTCTGCAAGAACACGAACTTGTTCAGGTGGATGGTGGACACGTTTTCGATGAGGGTCCTGTGGTAGTTTCAACGGAAAAAATCGAAAAATATGGAAATGTAAAAGCTTTCGTTTTCAAACACGATAAACACGACCAGACAAGTGTTGACGCTGCGCTTGTATCATTAACAGAAGATGCAGTCATTGCAAACGAACTCCCTGAGAAGGATGCCAAAAAATTACGCACTGCAGGTATATTAGCTACTGATACTTACATAATAGTAACATTTCTGGAAATGTTTTATATCATTTCATACTATTTCATATCATTCTGCCATATGACAGAATGGCAATTAATTTTTCTTTACATAAATTAATTGCCATTCTGTCAAATGCAGGAAAATGGGTTTTTGTAGTGTACCAGGCCTCAAACTGGAGTTTGGTTGCGTTTTTATTAGGTCATCTGAGTCACTCTTAGGGGCTTAAACCACCAAAATTGATGCAATCTTTAAAAATCTTCTTCTTTACTCCTGGACATCAAGCAGTCAAACTGTTGGCATGATTGTAATAAGCATTGTGCCTTCTACCAAAATTGTGAAATTCATTGCACCAGAGTCAGGGGTTCTGGTGCTAGGGCGGGGCCATATAGGTCATATAGTGAAAGTGCATTATTTCTTTGAAAATCTTTATCTCTTCTCCAGGGTATAATTTAAACAAACAAAGTGCATGGTTATGATAAGAAATGATGCCTTTTCCAAAATTGTGAATTTCATGGCCCCTGGGTCAGGGGCTATGGTGTTAGGGCGGGACTGTATTGATTAGATAGTGAAAATGCATTAATTCTTTGAAAATCTTCTTCTCTGCTCCTGGGTATTATTTAAACAAACTAAGTGCATGGGTATAATGCACAAGGATGCCTTTTCCAAAATTGTGAATTTCATTGCCCCTGGGTCAGGGGCTCTAGTGTTAGGGCGGGGCTCTATTAATTATAGAGTGAAAATGCATTAATTCTTCGAAAATCTTCTTCTTTGCTCCTGGGTATAATTTTAACAAACTGAGTGAATGGTTATAATAAGCATTGATGCCTTTTCCAAAATTGTGAAATTCATGGCCCCAGGGATGGAAGTGGGAGGGGGGCTCTATTGATTTTATAGTGAAAAAGCATAATTTCTTCGAAAATATTCTACCGTTCACGGTAGCTCAGTCGGTAGAGCGCTCGCTCCGTGATCGGGAGGTCGTGAGTTCGAATCTCGGCCGCGACAGACCTAAGTCGATTAAAAATAGGTAGCAACTGTTCCTTCGCCATGCGCTCGGCACTTTGAAGTGAAAGTTGCGGGTCCTTCGGATGAGACCTTAAAAACCGAGGCCCCGTGTCACGGCAGGCATTGGCACGATAAAGATCCCTCACTGCTCAATGGCCCTGAGTGCCGAGTAAAGGTCAAAATTTGAAGCCCTTCACCGGTATATGGTGACGTCTCTATATGAGTGAAAAATTCTCGAATGGGACGTAAAACACCATTCAATCAATCAATCAATCGAAAATATTCTTTTCTGCTCCTGGTTATAAAGCTAGGAAACTAAGTGTATTGTTATGATGAACAAATGTGCTTCTACCAGAATTGAGAGTTTCATGGCCCCTAGGTCAGATGTTCTGGTGTAAGGGTGAGTGAAAATGCACTATTTCTGTTAAATAATCCTGTCTGCTCCTTTTCCCTTAGAAGAACTACTCGTTTCAAATACACACAAAATGGTGTGTGGAATCTATCAATAACATAAGTTTTAGAATTTTCTCACACACTCTTTAAGGAAGGGATCGATTCATACATAAAATACCGGGTCTTTAGAGGGCAAGACAATTATCGAATCATTAAAGGTAGCCTGATATACATTTTAAAATTCTTGAACAAACGGGTACCGCTGCGCCGAGACATGGTGTTGAGACATCTCGTCTTACGATTTTTTGAGTGACTAATTTACAGTTTCCTATGAGTTTAAATTTTGGGTTGAGACTCGATGATTTGATATATCTTAAGATTTCATTTTAAATATGACAATTCTTGAGTCGAAACACTCATCTAATCAGTTGACTTTCATATAAACTTTTAGACAATATATTGTCAATATAAATTAAACATTGATAAAAGAGGGGAATTCTACTCTGAGAAAGAAAGAGGGGAAATTTGGCTCTAGAGTGAGAATTCCCCTCGGGAAAAGCATAAGTAGGTCTCCTGACCCCAGCGTTGTTATATTGGATTTAAAAGCAGATAGCAAATACGCTTTTAAAGTTTTGCAAAATTTCAAATATTTAGAAGTAAATGGCCCATGTTTAGTTCCATGGCATCTGCAGCTATTTTGGATACCGGTATTTAACACCAGAAACTTAGAGAGACACTTAAATATCAATAATGTGTAATATTAGTTAGAAATACAATTGGAGAAAAAATTCCATTGAAAATAAAATTCCTATTGTTTCCATGGATATAGTTAAAAATTTGTCAAAGCGATTACATTTACCTTTTTTTTTTCCAGAAAGCAGTATAACCAGATGAAATGAATACGATTTTAATGCTTCAAAAGAATTGGTTGGACAGTTACTGAGAAAAATGAGATTTAAAATTTTTAATTTTTCATACTTCGTATGTTTCAATGGAACTGGTCGCCATTTGAAGAAGGGACATTTGTAACAATGTAACAATCCCCTCTCATACATAAGTACAGCCATGATATTTTTTTGGGGGGGGGGGTGGGATTGGCTCTGGGGGAAATGACACTCTATAACTATAACGCAGAGTATGATTTCCGCATCCCCCCCCCCCGGAAAATTGAATCTGATGTGGAATTTCTGTAAGAGAAATCTTATTCTAGAGCCTATTTCCGGTGGGAAATCCTACTCTAGAGCCAGTTTTTTGGGGGGGAAGATTTTAGGGGAAAACCCTACTGTACAAGGCCGGCATTTATAATGTCCTTCTTTACACATCACGCTGAAAAAAGAACAGTTATCACGAATGTTACAGAACAATTTTAATTTCTTTAATGTTTAATATAAGGACTCTATCAATGTAATAATATATATACAGAGTCACAGACACATTATGAAAAGTGTTTGGGAATGTTTTATCAAGAACCTTTAGAAAAAATTTCTTTTTCTCATTGTTTGATCTTTCTTTACAGGATTTTTGCCTCACATCCCGCCTTCATTTGCTTACGGAAAAACGCTTGATATTACCAAATCCAGACAGATACGCAATAGTGTAATAAAATATGGCTCAGAAACGGGATTAACCAGAGGGTCTTTATGTTTAGATGGTATCCATGTTAGGATTGAAAATATCCCTTTACTTCTGAAGGACCCCATAAACCGTTTATTTAACGACGAATTATTCCGGCAGCAAGGATATGGACTTGTTGGTGAAACTATAAATGATTTTGTTCCAGTAGGACAACCTTTACAAACACATGTGCAACCCAATACGTTTTTGATGTATAATCAAGTTGCAATAGATTCACACTGTTCTCTTGGTCCATTTTTTAAAATTGGCGATTCTGGTTCCTTGGTATTTTTACCTCAGGAAGACGGTACCCTCGACTGCATTGGGATGGCTATTGGGTGCACATCTTATGGTACATGTATTATGACACCGATAGAAGATGTATTAGACAATCTTGATCGAATGCTAGATCCAAAGAATTTACATGATAGGTTGCGATTCATTAAGTACAACTTCAATGCAATTTCGCCTGAAAGTTGTAAAAGTTCTGCAACTCAGTTTTCTCGTCGTTCGGATATCTTTGGTACTGCATCGTCACATGCAATAGAAGAACAAAACATGGATGATTTTAGGACGTCATCAACATCTCTCCCGCAATCTCAGCCAGATATAGTCTCACTTTTTTCATCCTTTACATCTCAAATGTTTGAAAAATTTGATTCGCTTGAAAGGAAGATGGAAAGTCGATTTGGAGCAATAGAAAGACGTATAAATATGTCGGAAATGCAACCTACTTCGACAACATCTAACGTCGATACCGATTCCGACAGTCTATGAAAAGCTTTATCATTCCAAGAAACAAGGGTACACTGTATATTTTATTCTCAATGCAAAGGTGGTCTCCAGTTCGGATACATAGTTTGTATTTTCATTTCTTGTCGAATTGTTATTATCACTTTGGATAACCTATAACGCAACAATTTACATGTTGCATGAAATGGTTTCCAGATGACAATTTAGTTCTGTTTGAGCTTTTGCAATGGTATTTTAGATTATAACTCACTTTGACTTACAAAAGACCAATATTAATTTTGAGATCAAGAAGGCAAATGTCAAGGTAAAAATGCATATACTGTAAATGTATTATATTTAATAAGTAATTCTGATATATCGTTTTTTGATTTCGATGAACGGTATTGCCATGCACATGGTTAAACATTTCTGTGAAATTTTCAAAATGCTACTCTTCCTAAAATTTTAATCTGATTTCACTATAACAGGGTATACAAGTAGACTACACTGAGGTACATAATTCTGTTTATTGGTTTTGGATTTTCATAAATGGTCTTACCATGGTTGCTAAAAATAGAAATTTCTGTGAAATTCTTTCCAAACGTTACCTTTCCTACAGTTTTAATCCAATTTCAATATAACAGAGTACACGAGTAGACTACATCATGATACATAATTATGTGTATCAGTTTTTGATTTCAAAAACCGGTGCTGTCATGATTGCTCAAAATAGAAATTTCTGTGAAATTCATTCACAATGCTACTTGTCAGATTTCAATATAACTAGGTACACAGGTAGATTACACTTAATTACATCATCCTGTATATCTGTTTTTGATTTCAATGAATAAAGTTGCCATGGTTATTAAAAATAGAAATTTCTGTGAAATTGTATGAAAGTGATACTTGAAGGTTTTCAGAATTTGATGATTTTTCACTCATAAATTTCTCTTGCAATATGAACAATGTATGTAAAATGAAAAATGTTTTGAGTCATGGTTACCATGGAAACCAGGCCAAAGAAATTTCCTTAGCAACCGCAATTTTTCAGTGTTGATAGACAAAAAAATTATGGCTTAAAATAACATGAAAATACCATGAGAATTATTTTCACTTACTGGTGTAATAAAGATACACATTTTAAGTGTTTTAACAATGCAATAAAAAAAATTTTTTTAATGTGGACTGGTACTTAAATTGTTGACTTGATCGTATTTTCGGCAAAGCCGACATGGTACCTCTTCAAAAATGGTGAAAAGATCGGAGAGCTTTTACAGTTTTATTATATTTCATCCCTCCCCAATTAAAAAGTAAACAAAACAAATATTTGATATTGAGGATTCTTTTTTTACTGTAAAATCTTTTATTAAAAAATTATGTAACTCATCTGTTTAATGCATACATGAAATATCGCCGAAACCAACGAATTTGCGATTGACTAGAGAGGCATGCCAAAACCCCCTTCTTATTGATCATTGTGAATTTGTAGATCATGTTGCTACGAAAGAATTAACTTGTTTGTATTTTAATACATGTATATCAAAAGATTCACTTTTATATTTATTTCCGTTTTAATTTCCGTAACGTTTTAGCAACAACCCCTTGACTAGGGTTATACACCTTTACGAGGGTTGTCCCAGAAATACGCGAACATTTTCAATATCTTTTGTTTCACGAATGCTATAAAGTTAAAAATTGGCATACATCATGATCAACATTTTTTAAATAATGCCTAAAAATTTCAATGAAATATCTCTATAAATAACATTTCCCTCTCAGGTAAACTAATCTTACAAATCAGTTGTCGGGGCAACACTGACGACGTCAAAACGTAGTTCATGGCGTTTGTGAATTTGTTCTGGAAATGTGCTTCTGATAAAATTTGTTTAAGCATAAATTCTGCACTGTATTTAATGTTTTTATTTACCAAGTTACACATCTCAATACTACTGTTACCAAAAGATTGTGGAATTAATTCTTACATGTATAATAGACAATTACTCAATCCCGATAATAAACCTAACAGTTCGCATTGTTTAAGGGCGGCCTTCATTTAGACCTATGACGTCCAGTCCCTGACTTTCAGTTTGTCTTCATTTTTGGTGGTCTACAAAACGCCTCTTCTATCAGATAACCAGTCAAGCCATCCTCAAACCTCTTCAACTAGGGATAAACCTGTGTCCGATATTTATGCTTCTGTTTTTCCATCGTTAACATCTCTTTTATCGTATGGACAGGTGTCATATCCCCCTCAACACAGTACTGCTTCATCATTTGGTGCTCCACATTATCGCCAAACTTCACACCATTTTTGACAATATCTAATTAAAAAGTGTTTTAGCATATAACGTCATATATTTGCCATAAATGATGTCAAATTAATGAATTAATTTTATACACGAGTACACCAGATCAAAGAGTATTTATGGAGGTAAATTTTGTGACATTATATTTCCGTATAGCCTGGTAATAAAGAAAACTTCATTGACAATTCTACTTTTAAAAGTAAAACAAATTGCCGTGCGCCGACCACCGATATTTAAAGGTGCTTGGACACAAATTTGAAGTTAATATTTTCACAAATTTTTCTGTATAATTCCACGACTTATATGTTGTTATAGCATTTCATACTAAAATATAATAAAAATCTTATTTCATCTCGAAGTTATTAAATCTTAGAATTTCTGGACGCGTTGGATTGACACATCCTTGCGCTTTCACATATTTTAATTTTATTCTTAATACTTAAGAAAAGTGGAAATTTTGTTGTGTATTAATGAAAAATATTAAAACTATAACCCAGAAAATTCAGAGTAGAAATGTTCGAAAGCAAAACCCACTCAAAGTATTGTAAGTCCGTGCTCAGTGGTGTGTCCAGAGTTTAACAATTGAACACACCCGGTGAATCGTAAACATTAACAATAACAGAGCTCGTGCCCTGTTTACAAAAACAGTTTACGTTTCACGGGTGTGTTCAATTTGTTAAACTCTGTACATATCACAGAGCACGGACTGACAATACTGGTGAGTTGGTTTTGCTTTCGAACATTTCTACTCTGAATTTTCTGGATTATAGATAAATATTTTTCATTAATACATAACAAAATCGCTTCTTTTCTTAAATATTAAGGATAAAGTTAAAATTTGTGTAAGTGCAAAGATGTGTTAATCAAACGCGTCCCGGAATTCGTAGTTTCAATAATTTCCAGATAAAATAAGTTTTTAATTACATTTGCGTGTGAAATGCTTTTGCAATATATAAGTCGTGATATTATACAGAAAATTTGAGAAAATATTAAGTTCAAATCTGTGTCTAAGCACCTTTAACACCCTTTAAATGCTGTTTTATATTTTTATGACATCACACGCCTAAAATATTTTGTCAAAATACCGAAAATATAATTTTTGAAATACATGCAAAAAATTATTAGTTTTGGTCGAATAGTTTCTGAAATATTCAAAAAGTTTTTCTGGGACAAGCCTCGTACACCACCTTTTTGTGCATTGCTGGTCACTTCCGTATATTTCGAATCACCAGGAAAATATATAATATAGGATAAAAATACCCGGCCAGATAACAACAGTTGGTATTGCTTACCAAAAGGCTCCAAAAAGATTTTTTCTTGCTGATTGTTCTGTGTATTATATGTTATTAAAGCCACCCTCTGTACGCACTAGTATAAAACAGCATTATCAGAAGCGGATCACAGAAAAGCAATTACCAACAAAAAATGTCGCCCGCGTGGCACATTGGTTAGAGTCACAATTTAAGGAGTTGTTCGAATCCCACTGCGGGACGTGGAGACCGGTCCTTCGGATGAGACCGAATAAACCAAGGTCCAAACGAAAGGTTTGTTAAATTCTTAAAGGGTTGATTAATATGAGGGTTATTTTCAATGCAACTTCATTTATTTTCTCCAATTTCGTTTCGGAGAGATTCTGGAAAACACAACACTACTGTAACGTGCGGGACCCGAGCGATCTCCTTGGGCTCGTACTTGGTTAATGCCCAAGTCTTATAAGGACGATAATAAATGCAAAATATACAGATCAAAGCAAAATATACAAATATAGAGGACATTTGACTAGTGTTTACTTTAAGCAATATATACAGAGATTCCTGCCACTTGGCTATATCAAAGCCACTTGGCTATACAAAGGCCACTTGGCAATACTATAACCTCTTGGCTTATACAAAGGCCACTTGGCAATACTATAACCCCTTGGCTTATACAAAGGCTTCTTGCCAATTTTCCGCCACTTGACTATACAAAGGCCACCGTGTAGTTCTAGCCACTTGGCTAAACAACGTCACTTGGTAATACTATAGCCCATTGGCTTTATGTAAACGCCACTTGGTATTGCCCGTCAACTGGCACACAACGAGCTTTGGCCACTAATCAATATCAGCCACATTGTAAATGTTTCCTTAACTTCTGTATTCAACACTTCGTAATTATTACCAGCTTACAATCGACAATCTCTGTACAACAGAAGTTCGTCTCCAGCAAACTTGGATACCAAAGTTTTACACACCAAAATCATTGGCCATTTGGCTACTTATATAATCTTTGTGTCAATAAATTTAAGTGGCTTTACTGGCAAGAATCCGTTTCTGAGTGTTTCTGAGAATACTTTGATCGTCTTAACCAAACAACTATTTTCAATTTGGTTTTATATATATAAATATATATAAACGTTCTTTATTGTATTATCATTTAATCAAATAACCCGTTAATTACATTTTTTACAATGATTTCTTGATAAAAGCAATTAAACACAAGGAAATAACTCAACCGTTTTATCCCCCCTCCCTTTTTAGCTCATGCGTCCCGCATGATAATATGTACATGGCAAAATTGCACTATTTGGTACAAAATGTAAATTACACAGAAATAAATGAAACTTAAAAGTTAACCAAACTGTCTGTTCAAACATTAGCCTAACTGTTCTATACAACGGGTTACAAGTCTTCTTTTTCATTTTACAACATTTTGTCCTTCTTTACTGTGATTACTTTTCTACCACTCTCCTTGGCAATGGTGGTTGTAGTAATTGACTTTGTATACCGGACTGGCTTTGTTTATGTACAAGAGTCCACCAGTTTTCTCTCTGTCTGCACCTCGACAGATCTACGTGTCTGTTCAGGAGGATCCCTTTGCTCGGAATCAAACATAATCGTACAAGGTCTACGTACCTTGGGTGGTGCTGGGCTGTATACTGGCATCGGAGAAGTTCTCATCCTCACTGTAGGATCACTTGTTGTCCCAGTGTCTACATCCCGACTTCTCCCTTCACGATGCACAGTCTCTGTAGCTTCCCCAATACTAACATCTGGGTCTTCAGCCAACCACGCCTCCTCATCCTCTGATGAAAATTCATGATTTCCTTCTGCCTCCTTACTCCTTGGAGAATCTGCAGTATTGTTGTCGTCACAAATATCTTCTGTCACTTTGCTGCAAGAGGGACGATCATTTTCCTCTTTTCGACTTGTAGAGTGGTTTCTTTTCACATGTCTGAGATAACTGGTCTTCTTCTCTGTACTATAGTCACACTGCAAGCGTTTTGGTTACACCCAAGTCTCTAAAACATGACAAAATTGGAGGACCATTCTACGCTCTGCTGCTGGTACTACTGCCTGCAGACTAGAGAAATTTCCTTCAGTGTACTTTCTATACAAGATATCATTTTCAATAGCAAGGACACCCCCATTGAGACCAAGGAGATATTTCCACATATCCTAAACCACTTATCTCTTTGTAAACTGGTTTCTTTTCTCATGCAACCAACTTTTGACAAGTTTCAAGTCACTGTCATTATCTTGAACATCTTTTATTTTGCAATATGGCTCTTCAATAGCACCTGAACCGTTCACGGTAGCTCAGTCGGTAGAGCGCTCGCTCCGTGATCGGGAGGTCGTGAGTTCGGATCTCGGCCGCGACAGACCTAAGTCGATAAAAAATAGGTAGCAACTGTTCCTTCGCCATGCGCTCGGCACTTTGGAGTGAAAGTTGCGGGTCTTTCGGATGAGACCTTAAAAACTGAGGCCCCGTGTCACGGCAGGCATTGGCACGATAAAGATCCCTCACTGCTCAATGGCCCTGAGTGCCGAGTAAAGGTCAAAATTTGAAGCCCTTCACCGGTATATGGTGACGTCTCTATATGAGTGAAAAATTCTCGAATGGGACGTAAAACAGTATACAATCAATCAATCAATAGCACCTG